ACAAAACAAAGCCTGCGGTGCTTTCAAGAGATACCTGACGCACGCAAATTTAGTAAACTTCAAACGAGCTCGATCGCAGGCACGCTACATTCACAAACAAGCAGAAAAAGTGTCTTGGCAAAAATATGTATATTCCATAAATAGCTCGTCACCACGCAAAAAAAGTATAGGAGGGTGTTCGAAAAATGAGCGGGATTACACAGCCTCTGCTATCCCTCTGTTCATTCCTCCTGGTGTTCAAACCACAGTCGAAGATCAGGCAAAAGAATTTAGGAGAACATTTTGCACATATATCCAGTTAGGCAAACTGCAATCCGGCTTTGGTTTCATACAAAACAAAAATAGAAATGCAGAAACGTCCTACCAAAGGTGGTACAAAGGAAGAATATAACAGCCCAATCACTATTGACGAATCAAAAAATGTGCTCAAAACAGGAACGAAAACTGCCCCGGGCCTTGATAATGTCCACTACGCTATGATCCAACCCCTATATGAAAGGGGAACGTATGCGTCACTCAAGTTCTTCAACAAGGTGTGGGTTACGGGCAATATAACTCTAGCATGAAAAAAAGGCTGTTGTCATACCTTTCCTTAAGACAAGGAAACCACATGTTCTACCCAATAGCTACCACCCTAGAGCCTTAACAAGTTGCTTAGCAAAATCATTCAAAAGGATAATAAATGACAGGCTCACGTTCATCCTCGAACAACGTAACCTAGACACTAACCAGTGTGGTTTTAGACAAACGAGATCAACATTAGACCACCTTGTCCGCTTGGAACACACAACACGAGAAGCACTTATACATAAGCAACAGTGCCTAGTAGTTTGCTGCGACTTAAAAGCTTATGATACTACCTGAAGATTCGGAATCCTGTGCGACTTGGCCAATACGGGAATAAGAAGCAGAATTCTCTACTGTTTATAGGACTTTCTCGCAAATCGCACTTTTCAGGTTCACATTGGCACTACCCTCTCGCGTACTTTCACTCAGGAAAATGGGGTACTACAGGGCTGTATTTTAAGCACAACCCTTTTTATAGTGAAAATGAATTCCGTTGCAAAGAAATACCACGTACTGTAGAGCATTCCGTATATGTGGATGACCTACAAAGTGCATGTCGCTCTTCCAACATACACACCTGCGAAAGATAGATACAACAAACTATAAATAAACTGTCTGAATAGGCAGATAAAAATGGCTTCAGGTATTCAAATGAGAAAATGGAAACCGTGCTGTTTTCACGCAAAAGGGGACTCCAAGCTGACCCTAATTTACGGCTTAACAAACGGAATATGCCATAAGAAAAGAACACAAGTTTCTTGGTGTTATATCTGATAAATCACTAAGTTTTACACCTTATATAAATGCTCTGAAGACAAAATCAAATAAATGTCTCATATTTAAAGATGCTTTCTAAAAATAGCTGGGACTCCGATAGGGCATGCATTCTTTGTCTGTATCGACCATTGGTACGCCGCATCCTTGATTACGGTTGTACTATATACGGATCAGCAAGACCATCATACCTCCGAAAGCTAGACCCCATTCATAACTATGCTCTACGACTTGCCACGGGAACATACAGAACATCCCAGTAGAAAGCCTACGTGTAGAGGCTAACAAATCATGCCTAGACGCCAGACGGTGTTTACTTTTAGCAACATATGCACTAAAAGTTCACGCATTACCCTCACATCCATGTTTTACCATTGTTACACATTGCAGGGAAAGACTCCCATATACCAATAAGCCTTCTGCTGTAAAACAGTTCTGCCTCAGATTAGAAGAGGTTTGTCAAAAATTAAATCATCCAGAAAACTATCTGTATGTCTGGAAAAAGCCACAAGCTATTCCGCCATGGAAAAGTATTCACGCCATCTGTGACTTTAGGTTTACAACGCTCAGAAAGAGGGAAACGCCGAGGGAACACATCATACAGCATTTATACTCTATGCAGGAAACTTACCAAGGCTTCACAGAATGTTACACCGACCGCTCTAAAACACAGGAACATGTCGGCTGTGGAGTTATTGGAGTGGAGTCGGAAGAGAGCGTACACTTACCGAATCATGCTTCGATTTTTACTGCTGAACTCTTCGCGATATACACAGTGGTAAAATAGGCAATAAAAGACAGCAGCCACATCACAGTTATATATAGTGACTCTCTTAGCGCACTCCAATCACACGCATAAAAAAAACTGGCTCCCCAATGTAGGACAGATATTGAGACGCTGCAGAGGCAAACGAAACAGGGAAAGCTATAAAATTCAGCTGAATCACTAGTCATGTCGGTATAAAAGGAAATGAAAGGGCAAATAACAGTGCATCATGACAACAAAATTGCCCATAAAAAAACCATGAAATACCTGCTACCGACTTTGTAGCAGAATTGAGGCGATCACTCAACAAAAAATGGCAACTAAAGTGGGATAAAAATCTAACAAACTCCCTGTTGTCAAACCAACGATTGGAGAACGGAAGTCATGCAGACACCAGGAGCGTTTCATAGAAGTCATTCTGCGCAGACTACAAATCGGGCATACATACCCGACCCATAGTTACATTCTGCGTAAGGAGCAACAACCGACTTGTCAGAGGTGTGGAGAAATCTTGACAGTAAACCATCTTTTGATATCTTGTAGAAAACTAGAAAGGGAGCGAAACTTTTTTTTCAACCCCTATATCATCAACGAACACCATTTCTTCAAGTTTTTTTTTATTGGCGAAAACCCTACAATAAAACTGAACAATCTCACCAGATTCCTAAAAGCTATAAATTTACTGAAACTACTGTGATCCTTATTACTAAAAATACTAGGAACTGTTTTTATTATTTTTCTTGTACACAAAATATCTAGCCTCTGGCGCAATATAGCCATAGTCGCTTTTGCGCCACAAAACCCGACACAACTTTTCTGTTTCCTATTTCCCCTTCTCCAGTACAGGGAGCAAACGAGACACACACACACATGTATATATATTATATATATATATATATATATAATATATATATATATATATATATATATATATATATATATATATATATATTGTGATGAGCGAGACAGACAACAAGATACAACACCCGATGCTGGGCCAGCTGTTCTTATTCTGACTTCGTTCTTCTCTTTGATCTAGCTACCCACGCGCCGAAGCGCCAGCGTCTGTCTTCTTGGTCATGACACTCGGCCATGACTGCGCGCGTGCGAATCTGGCGGCAAAGTTTCTGATGGGCGGGTTTGGCTGCATCGTGGTTGTCGGCCACGACCACGATGGAAGTTTGTCGAAATGGGCCCCGGTGGCCGACACTGGCTATGTCGCCTGGGTCGTTCGCCATGTCGTGGTGGGGACTGAGTCCTGGTTGGTCCCTTTGTTGATGATGACTCCCGGGACGACATTGACTGTCGCGTGGCAGTCTACAGCCTCGACCATGCTGCGACTTTTCAGAGAAAGCTGTTCGACTCCGGTTTTCCTTTGCTGGACTGAGCAGGCATTCTCGTGGTAGAAGTTTCCTGCGGTGGTGTGGTTTTCTTGGAGATGGTTTTGGCGGGCGGCCCCGACTGGATCGACATGGTCGCAGGTTGATCACAGAACGCTTTCGTTTGTCCCACCACATTTTAGAAAAGAGGGCAGGAAATGGTGGATCTGGCAACGAAACGAGTAGCATCTTGTGCAGCCGTCTGCGCAATTTTCTGCGGATCGAGAGATGTTTTTCGGTGTGATTACACATCTTCACGAACTTGGGGTGAAGTCCTCGTGCTGACCTGTGGCGTGGCTTCTGCGAAGTGACTTGCGTAGTCCGTGACTTGCGCAGCGTTGTCGCTATGGGGCTCCCGGACGCTGTAAAGTCAGCGATTTTTGAAGCCACGCTGCGTACTGACGGGAGATCCTCGACGGAAGCCGTTCTCAAAACCGGATATTCTACCACTTCAGGCAGTGCGTGCGTCGCACGTATATCCTCTTCCGTCTGGTCAGATGGGATGTTATTAGACTCAGCGGAAAGACCTGTCTGATTAGGTGGTAGAATGTCCAGTAAAATGGGGGCCGTTGCCTCTAAGTCGACCGGACGACCTGCGTTGGGTCTCTTGCGGAGCGTTGCGCAAAGCTTGCCATCAGGGACCCGCCGGACACAGCTGCACCATCGGGCCGGTGCTCCTCAGGAGCTCTAAATACGACAACAGAAATACCTGTGCAAGGCAGAGTTACAGGATCGTGATTGTTCCCTACATCTTGGTCACCGAGAGATCGCAGGATGGTAGGGGCTCGAATCGCATCCTCTGGGTCGGGCTTTTCCCGAGTTCCGTCCTGAGAGAAAGTAGAGTTACATGGGCAGGTGGCAGAGGGCTTTGGACCGAACGCAGCTATGAGCTTGACGCTCCACTCCACCCATGACTGCTGCTTCCAACCTTCATACCAGTGCCACGCCGCTGCACCTTCCCGAAGACGGTTTATGGCCACACACCATTTCTGATCCTCCGTCCAGGCCACGCGCATTGCTAGCGCGTTGACGGTTGCCACCCAGTTGTCGGCGTCGTTCCGGACCCCGTCGAATTCCGGCAGTTCGTAGGTAGACAGCGGTGGTGGGGCGACACGTGAGAATGCTGATATGACTGAGGCAACGCCGTCGAGCTGGTCTGAGAGCTGCAGGAAGGTGCCCCAAAGCTGCCAGCGTTGCTCCATTGGGCTTGCCTGAAGGTCGTGCGAGGCAGCTACGTCCAACATGGCGTTAGTGGCATGCAATTCTGGCAACATTGTAGGAGCTTGCTCGGAGATTGACGCTGTCAGTTCATTAGTCTTGACGTGGAGTAGTGCGATGGTACGCCGCAGGTTCGCGGCGCTGCCGTGTGTGAAGTCCGAAGCGTTGGTGATCGCGGTCTTCGAATGAGTAGTGGTTGCAGCACTGACGCCGGTGAGGTTGACGTGCACAGAAGCCTGGACGGCGTTCTCTGACAGCTCGCATGTTTAAAGAGTGCGGCAACGGGAATGTAGGACATGGGAAGCGTGAGTGGCATTCCCAAAGGACAGGAGCCGGTGTGGATCCCTGCCGCGAATTGGTGGCAGGGTGTCAATAAGGTCATGCCCTACAACCGCAGGGGAGGCCTGGACGCCATCCACTGGCGGTTTTAAGGGTAGCTGAAGCGGCGGGTGGGACCCCATTGCCAAGGAAGCGTGGACGGCGTTCCTCGATGGAGAAGCCCGCACTGCCGACGAACCACGAAGACACGTACCGGTGGCTTCCCGCAGAGGGTTCACTTGTCGACTGCGCTGACGGCAGAATCCATAGCCAAGGACGCGTGGATGGCGTTCCTTGTGAAATGGTACTGGTAGCATGTACTGCAGCCGCCGAGGAGGCCTTGACGCCGTCCCCGAATGGTGGTGGCAGTGGCGGCAGGTGAACAGATGCCGAAGACACCTTGACGCCGTCCTCAAGCGACGCTTATCACGGCTGTCCTTGATGACGAAGCAGAGACGTAAGACTTCTTCTTCGTCGACTGCGCCATTGCGATGAGCGAGACAGAGAACAAGACACAACACTCGATCCTGGGCCAGCTGTTCTTAATCTGACTTCGTTCTTCTCTTCTTTGCTCTAGCTACCCGCACGCCGAAGCGCCAGCGTCTGTCTTTCTCTTGGTCATAAGATATATATATATATATATATATATATATATATATATATATATATATATGAGATTTAACAGACAATAATGCCAAGGAATGTATAGGGGAAATTATTAGACCCAATTGCAATGTAAATACGAAAAAAGAAAAGTGGGTGAAAGATAACTTGCCGTGGGCAGGATCCAAACCTGCGACCTTCGAATAACGCGTTCGATGCTCTAACACTGAGCTACCATGGCTGCTATCCCGCCAGCCACTTATTGGGTTTATATGTGAATTTAAACGTGGGAGTGCCAGTCCGTGCCACGTGTAGCAATGAAGGGAAGGCGAGTGTGGCACACTCTTCATGAGTCTGTTTGGCGTCACGTAGAACGCAAACTCATTACGAGCTGGCAGCCGACCAATAGTTCCTTGTATAAAACCTAACGGCACGTTAGGTTGTATACGAAGGACTATGGTCAGTGCCTTTAGCTTGTATAAGAGGGACTATTGGTCAGCAGCCCACTCGTAACAAGTTCAAGTGCTACGTGACGCCAAACAGGCTCAAAAGAGTGTGCCACACTCGCCGCCACGGCTACTGGTGGCGCTGACTAACACTCCCACTTTTAATTCACATATAAACCCTATGAAGTGGTTGGGGGGATAGCTGTCGTGGTAGCTCAGCGGTAGAGCATCGAACGCGTCATTCAAAGGTCGCAGGTTCGGATCCTGCCCACGGCAAGTTATCTTTTCACCCACTTTTCTTCATATTTACATTACAATTAGGTCTAATATCTTCCCCTATACTTTCCTTGGCATTATTTTCTGTTCAGTCTCATTATTATTGTGTAAAAACACGGAAAAACGAGCCCTTAGGTATACGCTCTTTTCCTTATTCATTAACTAGGGTCTAGTACTGGCAGACTTTGTGCCTTTAGGTTTTATAAGAGCGACTATTGGTCAGCTGCCCACTCGTAACAAGTTCAAGTGCTACGTGACGCCAAACAGGCTCAAAAAAGTGTGCCACACTCGCTTCCATGGCTACTGGTGGCGCAGACTAACACTCCAACGTTTAATTCAAATATAAACCCTATAAAGTGGTTGGGGGGATAGCTGTCGTGGTAGCTCAGCGGTAGAGCATCGAACGCGTCATTCGAAGGTCGCAGGTTCGCATCCTGCCCACGGCAACTTATTTTTTCCCCCACTTTTCTTCATATTTACATTACAATTTGGTCTAATACCTTCCCCTATACTTTCCTTGGCATTATTGTCTGTTCAATCTTATTATTATTGTGTAAAAACACGGAAAACGAGCCCTTAGGTATACACTTCTTTCCATATATATATATATATCAGCTGCTTCACGTATTATACTATTAGAATTTGTTGCGGTGTGTTGCGGTAGTTCACCCTTTCGGTGAAACAATGAACAGCAATTACTTAACTGCCTCCTTGAACACATGCCTTGCTTTCATGTTATACCGGTACCTAGACTGAGGGATCAGCCATATGTTTATCTTAGCAGGCTTGTGCGCCAATACAGGACTATCACCGTCACGATGGGGCGAGGTGGCTTACGATATGTTGTGTTGAAGACTAAAATCACCACGATAGTCTTTCATTCGCACGAATTGTTTCTTTTTCTTCAGGACGACGCGCAGTACCCATCGAAAGCTACGCTAGTGTTACCGGACTACTTCGTGGGCATGACAATACGCCTTTTCGTCTACAAGAGAGATGATGAGTAAGTGCGCATTCGTATTTCTTGTGTGGAGTGAAGTAAAGTGAGGAGTGAAGTGTTCATTACGGTTTTTTTATTTGCATGACACTTTTAAGTGTAGAAGGCAGTACTTGGCACAATCATGTGTAAAAAAGGTGGCATCACCCAGGCACAACAGTAAGAATGCTATCACAGATTAGCGCTGTCTTCTAGTTGGGGAGAAATACGCAACTGATTTCCTCTGTGAGAACATTTGCAAGTCTGCTTGTCTGGGACATGATTTTAGCTTAAGTAAACAACCACCGCAGAGGCTTCTGCCCAAGGAGGCGTGTGGTGAGTGGCGTCACCACAGACCCAAGCCAACGGCTGCTTTCGACCTCTTCCACGCCTAGTCGTGCGTGGCTTTGCTGTGTCTGGGGAAAAGGGGTTCCCGGGGTTGAAGCAATGCCGGCGTACTTGACCTTTACTGCCTCCTGGCACCGGCAACACACCGCCTTGGCCCTATACTTCATGTACAAAGCATCCGTGGCATGACCCACCCAGGGAAACCGGGAGTCGCCGTTTGGCGAGAAGGGTTGCCCTTTTGTGGCTGACGAGTCTCGGCTCGCCACATATGGTTATGGAAGTTGTACGGCTGGAAGTGGCAGACTTGTAATCACACATTTTTTTGTCACGTCCCCTTGTTGCAACAAGGGGACGTTGTTGCAACCAAGGGATTGGTGTTGCACAACCAATCCCATAGGATCGGTGGTGGGTGGTTAGCACTGCCACCGAAATGTAAACGCCGATGTTAAGTACATGCTTTCGCGAAACGAATTGTACTCTAAAAAGAGTACGCACCGAAGCATTCCTGCAGTTTTTTCCAGAAACCAAAAACATCTTCAGGAATTGCGTTATGTACAGTGAGCAGCCAGACGCAGAAGCCAGAACAGTTACAACATCACTGGTGGCAAAAAACCTTACTGAAAAACAAGGACCACGTTAAAAGGATACTACGCTGACCAGTGGTGATATGCTTCTTGATCTCAGACAAACAGCATGAAAATATCTTCAACCTTCCACTGTTCGGATATATCTCTGTCTTGAACATGGTTTATGGTGTCGCCTTATATGAACATATCTTGAACCTCTCTGAACCTTAACTACTTGATAGATCTACCAAAATATCTTCCATGTGCAACAATTTAAAATAAGGGACAACTGAGAATAGCTGACCAAGCACATTCCACTACCTTTTGAATCAGGTAAATTGCCAGAAATCAGATTACACGAAAACAAGAGTTCGTCAATACGCACCAAACTCTCGCAGATACTTTATGTGCGAGATTATCCGCTTTTAAGTGCCACGTGTTTCACACTATAGGAGCCACAGTTATTACGGTTTCAATTGCCACAGTTCTCACATTTGCGAAAGCCGGTGTCATCATCATCATCATCAGCCTGACTACGTCCACTGCAGGACAAAGGCCTCTCCCATGTTCCGCCAGTTAACCAGGTCCTGTGCTTGCTGCTGCCAATTTATACCCGCAAACTTCTTAATCTCGTCTGCCCACCTAACCTTCTGTCTCCCCCTAACCCGCTTCCCTTCTCTGGGAATCCAGTTAGTTATCCTTAATGACCAGCGGTTATCCTGTCTACGCGCTACATGCCCGGACCATGTCCATTTCCTCTTCTTTATTTCAACTATGATATCCTTAACCCCAGTTTGTCCCCTAATCCACTCTGCTCTCTTCTTGTCTCTTAAGGTTACACCTACCATTTTTCTTTCTATTGCTCGCTGCGTCGTCCTCAATTTAAGCTGAACCCTCCTTGTAGGTCTCCAGGTATCTGCTCCGTAGCTAAGTACCGGCAAGATACAGCTGTTATATACCTTCCTCTTGAGAGATAGTGGCAATCTACCTGTCATAATTTGAGAGTGCTTGCCGAATGTACTCCACCCCATTTTTATTCTTCTAGTTACTTCAATCTCGTGGTTAGGCTCTGCGGTTATTACTTGCCCTAAGTAGACATAGTCTTTTACAACTTCAAGTGCACTATTACCTATCTCGAAGCGCTGCTCCTTTCCGAGGTTGTTGTACATTACTTTCGTTTTCTGCAGATTAAATTTAAGACCCACCTTTCTGCTGTCCTTGTCTAACTCCGTAATCATGAGTTGCAATTCGTCCCCTGAGTTACTCAGCAATGCAATGTCATCGGCGAAGCGCCGGTTACTAAGGTATTCTCCATTAACTCTTATCTTTAACTGTTCCCATTCTAGGCTTCTGAAAACCTCCTGTAAGCACGCGGTAAATAGCATTGGGGAGATTGTGTCCCCCTGTCTTACACCCTTCTTGATTGGTATTCTGTTGCTTTCTTTATGAAGCACTATGGTAGCAGTTGATCCCCTGTAGATTTCTTCCAGAATGTTTATATATGCTTCATCTACGCCCTGATTCCGCAGTGTCTGCATGACGGCTGATATTTCTACTGAATCAAACGCCTTCTCGTAATCTAAAGGCTATGTATAGTAGTTGGTTATACTCTGAGCATTTATCTATTACCTGATTGATAGTATGAGTGTGGTCAATTGTTGAGTAGCCTGTTCGAAATCCTGCTTGTTCCTTTGGTTGATTGAATTCTAATGTTTTGTTTACTCTGTTAGCAATTACCTTTGTACATAGCTTGTATGCTACAGAGAGCAAGCTGATCGGCCTGTAATTCTTCAAGTCCTTGTCATCTCCTTTCTAATGTATTAAGATGATGTTAGCGTTCTTCCAAGACTATGGTACCCTTCCCGTCAGGAGACACCTCGTAAACAGGGTGGCTAGTTTTTCTAACACAATCTGTCCTCCATCTTTCAGCAGATCTGATGTTACCTGATCCTCACCAGCAGCTTTGCCTCTTTGCATGCTCTTCAAAGCTTTTCTGGCTTCTTCTATCATTACTGGTGGGGTGTCATCTGGGTTACTGCTAGTTCTTATAGTATTAAGGTCGTGGTTGTCTCGGCTACTGTACAGATCTCTGTAAAACTCCTCCGCTATTTTAACTATCCTATCCATATTGGTAGTTATTTTGCCTTCTTTGTCTCTTAGTGCATACATCCGACTTTTGCCTATCCCAAGTTTCCTCTTCACTGCTTTGACAATTCCTCCGTTTTCCAGAGCGTGTTCAATTCTCTCCATGTTATACCTTTTTACATCGCATACTTTACGCCTATTAATCAACTTTGAAAGCTCTGCCAGTTCTATTTTGTCTGTTGTACTTGACAATTTCATGCTTTGACGCTTCTTAATTAGGTTCTTCATTTCCTGAGAAAGCTTGCCAGTGTCCTGTCTAACTACCCTGCCTCCAACTTCCACTGCACACTCTGTAATGATACTCGTTAGATTATCATTCATTGTATCTACGCTAAGGTTGGTTTCCTCACTAAGAGCCGAGTACCTGTTCTGCAGCGACACTCTGAATTCCTGTACTTTCCTTCTCAGTGATAGCTCATTGATTGGCTTCTTGCGTATCAGTTTCTGTCGTTCCTTCTTCAAGTCCAGGCGAATTCGAGACCGTGCCATTCTATGGTCACTGCATCGTACCTTGCCAACCACTTCCACATCCTGCACGATTCCTGGGTGTGCAGTCATTATAAAGTCTATTTCGTTCCTATTTTCGCCATTACGGCTTCTCCATGTCCACTTGCGGTTTTCTCGTTTTCGGTAGAAAATATTCAAAATCCGCAAATTATTGCGTTCTGCGAATTCCACTAGTAGCTCTCCTCTGGCGTTTCTAGTGCCGATGCCATAATCTCCTACTGCCTGGTCTCCAGCCTGCTTCTTCCCTACCTTTGCTTTAAAGTTGCCAAATGTACTGGTGCAAAATGTGCTTTAACGGACCTGATGTCCGAAGGCGGTGAGGCTGCAACCGGCTGTGTGAGCTGCTGCAGCGACCACCAAGCGTAGTCGTGATCGTGTTCCGCAGGACAAAACAGTGAAATATTTACGTTCTGTGAAGGTCACAGAGAACATCGCTTTCATGAAAGCCAGGAAGTGATCTTCTCCAATCTATGGCGCCACTTATGCGGATGCGGTGCGTCATGGGCCAGCGTCGCACTGGCCTCCACCAACGGTCCGACCTGCGTCGAATGAGCAGTCAGCTGTGATGACCGTCCCAAAGGCGGCAGTAGTTCAATGTGCTCTGCCAACACAAAGAATCTCGGCGACTGTGGAGCCGTCGAGTAGCAAGGTCTCGTATTGCCAGGCGAGGGCTTAGACTCGAGCTACCAGCCTAGCATCATCTAATGGCTCCACCTGAACCATTCCAAACATGGTTTGTGGAACATGCTGACTGTGACATGTTTTTTACGGAAGTGACTAAGTCTGCTCCAGAAGCCCATATACACGTACATTTTCTTGAGCTGCAGTCGCGATACTCCTGCCCATAATAGCCCCACCGCGGTGGTCTAGTGGCCAAAGTACTCGGCTGCTGACCCACAGGTTGCGGGATCAAATCCCGGCTCTGGCGAATGCATTTTCGATGGAGACAAAATGCTCTAAGCCCGTGTGCTCAGATTTGGGTGCACGTGAACGAACCCCAGGTGGTCGAAATTTCCGGAGTCCTCCACTGCGGCGTCTCTTCAAAATCATATGGTGGTTTTGGAACTTTCGATCGTCGATTTCGGCACGTTGAATTTGTTTCTCTTGCATCCAGAACTTTGTAGTAGTTGGTCCAGCCACTCAACTTTGGGAATAGATCTGAATTTGCATGTTTTGAGAACATAGGGATTTCCGACAGACATTTGCGCGAACGAATGTGCGGTGTGTCGCTGGAAAATGCACTAGCTGGCAAACTTGACAAAAATGTGTGCCCCCTCCCCCCCTCGTGCTTATGCTACAGTACTATCAAAGTTCTGTAATGAAAAGAATCTTTGCAAGTCAGATGTCAAATTAAAGTGTCAGCCTCGCTATATGACAGTGCTAAGTAGTAATATTGCCAGAAATTCGTGCCAGCTATTCAATAGAGAGCTATTCCCAGGAGCAAGGGAATTTTTATTTCACAAAATATATTTTCAAAGGTCCGCTGCAAGTCTAAAACGTGGAAGTGGCCTTCCAAGCCAGCTTGTGGCAGCTTTTGTTTGACTTGTATTGTTATAGAAGACACCGGAGCTCCCCCCAGCGTCACTCGTCGCTCTTATGGCGGCATCGTGTCGCGTGAATGGGTGAGTGCTTACAAAAAAAAAACCACCACTCGAAACTCTCATGCAACCACACCTAAATTGAGTGAGGAGGAGGTTAGAGTTCGAGGATGACAGCTACTCTGACTCAGGTTTCATGGCAACAATGTTTTGCGTAAGCCTCAGACATCTGCAGCCGTCCGTGAGTTTGTTTTGTGAACGGCCTCAAGTTATCTTCTCCACCGCAAGAGCGTATAGCTGCTGACTCTCGTGCACAATGTCATAGCTACTTCGGTTATACGTGAGCTCCACACGTCGCAGGGTTGCGGTGTGCGGCGCCGGCTGCAGAAGTTCTGCTCACGACAAGAAAAGTAGCACAGCCCATAGTGGCACTGATCAGTGAACAAGGCGTAAACGTTTAAGAACTGGGTGCAATATTATATTTTATACGATGTGCAAAATGCAAATATGCTTAGATGCTTATAATACAATGTCAATTTATGCAAAGTGAGGTGGGTCATGGAAAGACGGGATGCTAGACCAAATAACAAAGTTCCTTGGACGTCTGATTTATCTGTGGATTGTTCGCATCTCGGGAATCTATCTATATTGAAACACTTGCTGTCGCCTTTAAAAAAGAAAAAAAATATTGAGAAAATTGTACGAGTTCTTTTGTGTCTCTCGAAAAAGCAAGGAATGCTTTACCGCAAGGCACGATCAATGAAGCAGTACCTATGTACCGAATTCGTTTGTCTATGTGAAAAGAAACATTTTAAAAACGTCTATTATTTTTCATACTGTTCCTGGGTCATTTATCTTCAAAATGCGTATTCTGAATTTTTATTGTTTTCAATATTTTAGCATATATAGTGTTTTTTATTAGATTGTTTCCCAGCTGGCAACCAAATATTACACACTTTTCACATTTCGAGTCATTGCAAAACATTTTGGTTGGTTTACACCATATATTTTTTGGAAAGAGCATTTCATTGCGGAAAATTTTCTATGCAGCAGTGCGAGCTGGATGTACTTTTCAAACTGGCAAAACCAATATGCCCGAGACATATAAAAAATAGCCATTTTCGCGCGCTAATGAAAGAGGTAATAGATGTGCCCGCATTTCCCCACCTTAGTATTTCGGTTAATGTTATTTTTTTTAACTTTGCCTTTCTTTCTTTTCTTCCTGATTTCACTTTTTTTCCAGAGGTCAAGCAACGATTAATGTTGAATATTATAAAGCTCTTCGATATTGGAATGCACTAGTGGAATATAGAGACCATCGCTTTAGATTCTACTCAAAATCCGGGGGAACAGGCAATACAAGCTACGAGATCAACGACGTACCAGAAAGCAAATTTTACATATTGGGGATTAAGTGCAAGGACCAAGCAAACTTCGAGGTGAGTCTCTTTTTGCAGCGTCAATATCACAGGAATTAAATCTTTTTTAATGGAGACCAGCCAACCTCCTCGCTTGAAACGCGATCAAGCAATCACCGCTCACGACTGCATGCATGATTCGGTCGACATACGCCAACAATAGGCCTCATCCGGCCGACCGCTCTTGAGCGCTGGCATACGTTTAGCCCTCAAAGACGAACGCTACTATACACCTACCGTGGTGTCAGGACATATCTGATGTTTCATTGTTTGCGCACATTCACTTGATCCAGGTAACACCTATATAGAGTAGTTAGGACTGTGTGTGTGTGTGCGTGTGTGTGTGTGCGTGCGTGCGTAGTCACCGACGGGTTCAGGAACTTGATATATAGTCGATATTGACCAATTTCAACAAAGGACGCTGGCAGGTTCTGAAGGGCTCAGCTCGTTTTCATGTGGTAGCATATTCCGCTGTAGCTCTCCGGCTCTGGCACCAACACCTGACCAGATTCGCAAGACTTAGCAGTTGTGCTCGACGTCATCCGTACCAGGAGCGCGAAGGGCTATTAGCGCTGAAAGGCCACTTCCACGGCTGTTTTGCGTGAGCATGAAAAATTAGCCCGGCACCTTTGACCAAGCACTGAATAATCAAATAGGCACAACGGCAAGACAAGCTCATTGATATCCACATCGTGTGGATTCAAGAGAGCGAGGAATTTGAAAAAAAGTCACAGCTTTGCCGTGAATGCGAAGCAATGAACGCGATAGCAACCAATTGAAAGGTCACGTGCAGAATTGCAAGCAGATCGAAACGTGTCCCGCGTTTCTCACGCACAAATAACGCACGAAATGTACTGACAGGTACAGATGAACGCGAATATGCGTCTCACTTGTTACTTCGCCGAGTCTGAAAAGCGCGCCTTTTTCGCAAACGGAGGCTGTGCAACGATTGCAATGACCTTTGCGCGCCCGGTAACTACAACAGAATCGTTCCGACGAAACCCAAAAGATAGGCAAGACGTATGATTCCCGTCACTGCAAGACAATGGTACGCGATCGAGTGAACACCACCTTATTCTCTACGTGGGACAAAGTACGCGTGAGAGAGGAGGAAGAGGAATAAACAATATTATTTAGGAAGAGGAGGGGCAATGAGGAAAACCAAGTTTGACGGGGTCTAGGTTGGGGCCCAAGGGGACGCAACACTAGCAGATCAGTCCACCAGCTTGGCCTGCATATGCGAATTCGGGCATCTTAAGGACCTCTCTTAGGCTTCCGGGGATGGGGATTATGCGGTTGCCCCAACAACCTTCCACCCAAGGAGTACATGTGAGAGATGAGAGCCGCTGCGCGCTCACTGCGGCATCGTGTTGATAATGCTGAAAACACGGTAGTTGCCCTCCGAGATGCCTGCCAACAGCGGTAAGTGGTAGATATGAATAGAGTTTCATACAAGAATACCTAGAGGGGAATGTGGCGCTTTTTTCTATGCGGGCTCTTTCGGCAGCGCTTGTACCCTCGTGGGAATTATGCGAAGCACAGGCTTCGAATCCGCTTCGGATCAATTACGTTTGTAACTCACAACTTGTGTAATTGTGAGTTCAAGCGACATATAACCTTAAACCTAAGGAAGCCTAGTTTCCGGCTGAAACTCTTGAAATAAACTCTTCCTTTGTTGCTGTTCTCACGCGGGCTGATCTTTACTGTTTGCAAGAAAGCTGCACACACACACACACACACACACACACACACACACACACACACACACACACACACACACACACACACACACACACACACACACACACACACATACACACGCACACGCACACGCGCACACACACACACACACACACACACACATATATATATATATATATATATATATATATATATATATATATATATATATATATATATATATATATATATATATATATTGTCACGTGTGTCCCGCGAAAAAGACGAAGGCGACAGCGCATACGCTCATCTGCACGCTTTTATGCAGAACGCAAACACGAGAAAGACGAGGTACTCTCTGGCGCGCACGGTTAATAAAAAGACCGACCCGCTGCTGTTTTCTCAGCGTCTTCAAATACGACCTCTGTCTTCACGTCGCGACACTGGTGGAGGAGCTGGGTCCTGCAACCTGATGCAAGAAAGCGTTGTTCGGGACCGTACACCCAGTCCGGAGCCTCGACATCTTGTTACGACTCCAGTACACCGATTCAGCTGGCGCCTACTAGGCCTAAGTCCAGAACTCTTGACGGCATCTCCTGTTACCAATATGGCAGCCCCTTCAACGCCTGCGAATCTCCCTCCTACCCAGACGGCTCATCCTTACCAGTTAACTTTTGAGACTCCTCGTGTTCCCGAAGTCTTCCGTGGAGAACCGTATGAAGATGTCGACGACTGGCTTGACCAGTTCGAGCGGACCGCTGGGGTGAATCGTTGGAGCGTGGAAGAAAAACTTGGCCGTGCCTACTTCGCAATGGAAAATAGCGCTCGCACATGGTACGAGAACAAGGAGCCTACTTTCCAAAGCTGAGACGATTTCCGCCAAAAGCTTCTCGAGACGTTCCTGAGTGCGGACCGACCGGATCTCGCACAACAGATGATTGAAGCCCGCGTGCAAAAGCCGAACGTAAGCGTCGCCATGTTCGCTGAGGATATGGCCCGTCTATTTCGCCGCGCTGACCCTGACATGCACAAGGCAAGGAAAGTTCACCTGATGCGGGGAGTTAAGGAACCGCTTTTCGCCGGCCTTGCACGAAATCCGCCAACAATGGTGGATGAATTCATCAAAGAAGCGACTGTCATCGAGCGGGCGCTCCGGCAACGATACCGCCACTTTGACCGCCTGCCCGACCAAACGCCTGTTGGTGCCGCCGCTCAAAACGCTGCTGTTTCCGAAAACTCTTTACGCCAAATGATTAGGCAAATCCTGCGGGAAGAGCTGCGGGCCCTCGGCCTTCCGTCTACCGAGCCCCCAGTTGCTTCTGTTGCGGAAATCGTGCGCCAGGAACTACGGCAAGCCTTTCCATCACCGGCGCCACCACCGGAACCACGTCCACTGACCTATTATTATGCCGTCCGCCGTCATCCGCGGGCCCCAGAAGAAGCTCCCTTTCAGCTACGGCCCATTACCTTGCCGTGGTGGCAGCGGGAACCTGTGCGGCGACCACGAGTACGTCGGACCGACTTGTGGCGCACTGCCGACCGTCGACCCCTTTGTTTACACTGCGGCGAACCAGGCCACAACTCGCGCTACTGCCGTCATTGAGAAGCCCGGTTAGGAAACTTTTCTCGGCCCGCTTCGTTTTATTTTGAAGACCCTCGTGCCCATATATAGTCCTGATCACCTGCCGACCAACCAAGCGTCTTCACCAAGTCGTCGCTGGTGGTCTCTCTCACCTGCACGAGGTTAAGCCACCGACATCACCATTCGAAAAAGTCGCATAGATTTATTGGGCCCTTTCCCCAAGTCTACCACCAGTCGCCGCTGGATTATTGTATGCGTAGATTACCTGACACGGTATACTGAAACGATGGCGGTTGCTTCCGCCACATCATCCCATGTGTCATGGTTTCTTCTGCACTCGATTATACTCCATCACGGGGCCCCTCGTGTGGTGATAAGTGATCGCGGCCGGCAGTTTACCGCTGACGTTGTCGAAGAGTTGCTGCGGCTCTGTGGGTGCCAGTATCAGCATTCCACGCCATACCACCCTCAGACCAATGGCCTCACTGAGTGCACCAATCGTACCATCATCAACATGCTTTCAATGTACGTCGTGGCAGATCACAAGAACTGGGATGCCGTATAACCTTTTGTTACGTACTCCTTTATTACCGCGAAACACGAGGTCTCAGGTTATACGCCTTTCTTTCTCCTCTACGCTCGTCATCCCCAAAGTTTTCTTGACACCATACTTCCTTTTTCGACGAACAAAAACGCCAGTGTTGCGCAGACGTTGTGTCGCGCCGAAGAAGCTCGCCGACTTGCTCGGCTCCACACTCCACCCACGCTCGCGCGAAAGACCGTTACGACACAAAACATCCGCCTGTGACTTTCGCTAAGGGTGATTCCGTCTGGCTGTGGACGCCCGTTCGAAAGAAGGGGCTTTGCCAGAAGCTTCTTTCGAAGTACTCAGGACCATTCGTCATTACTCAGTGCTTGAGTGACTTCGTTCGAGGTATAGCGCATCCAGGACGGGACAGAGAAGAACATACAGAATACATACGCAGCGCTAACTTTGATTGTTGAAAGTTAGTGCCGTGTATGTGTTCTGTGTCTTCTTCTCTGTCCCGTCCTGGATGCGCTATAGCTCGAACAACAAGAATAAGCAACAAGCCCATTGTGCAACCTTAGTCGGCTTGAGTGACGTAACTTACGTTGCAGCGAAAGTGACAGCTCAGAACCGGCATTCACGTAAGACGCGAATAGTGCACATTGCCCGATTGAAGCCCTACAACAACAGATCGCTTCTACTTGCTCGGTGAGCTTCGTATTGCCTTGAGGACAATGTAACGCGGACTGAAAGAGCGAAAAAGAAGAAGAGGTGGGACGCTCTCGAGCGAAGGTGATTCGGCAGTGACGGTTGAGCGCTGGCATTTTGAGTGTAAATAAACCCATCACATCCGTATATATATATCAACGGCACGTGTAGAGTTGTATCTAAAAATGTCCCCATCAGAGGGTCTGATCCCAGCACGGCTGTCGCATTTTGATAGAGGAAAAGCATGAACGGAGAGGCCTGTGGGCTGTGAAATGTCTTTGCACCAGATGGCGAAAATTTCCGGAGCACTCCACTACGGCTTCTGTCATAGTCATATCTTGCTTTTGGGAACTAAAACCCCATATTATTGTTATTAGTGATAATAGTAGTAGTATAGTTTGTAGAAAGTGCATCTCCTGCTGAATCCTCAATGGAGAAAAAAAAGGTGAGTGGGGATCCCTACATCTTTTGAATTGTTATAACATGAAAGCGAAACATCTCGTTGCAGAAGTAGTTTAGTGATTACTGTTCGTTGATATAAGAGAGCTCATACTACTCCTGCTGGTATTTGACAGATAAGTTTACCCACTGTTTTTTTGTAATTGCATCCAAGTTGATGCTTAACGATACAACTCTTTCCCAATGACTAACGTCGGCATGATTATTGATTGATTAACTATTAAACATGCCCTTGCGGGTATAGATGCTATTGTGGCTGTTGTAGTGGATGATTGCAAAACGAAAGAAATATTACAACCACGAAAGTGTGACTGATGTGGTTCCTACTCGCGGTATGTTCGAGTTATTGAACGCCACCGACCTATAAAACACGCTGTGTCCTCCCTCTTGGAAAGCTGCAATTTTTCGCTTGGCGAGCGTAACCGGGGAACGCGAAGTTACATACGGCTGAAACAAGTGCGTTGCTCCGTGTGTTGCCGAACTATTGTATATAGATGTATGCTACGAGCCACGCCGACGCTTTGGGTAAGTTGCCACCTGGCATTGTGTTAAGGCGTTGCGAACTTGCACTTCTATTTGAAAAAGACCTGATAGGACGGACACGTTGAAATGATGCGTTGAAAGAACTAATCGCAGCTCCCACTGTCAGGATGTATCATTACACTTTACCGAGAGTACTGTGTGAGAACAATGGTAGATACAGGAGGCGTGTTTCCAAAGGCTGCAACTTATGTTTCCGTGGCGTGGTGGACAGCGTGCACGGCCGATGTCATTGTTGACCAAGAAGTCGTGGGTTATATTCTTGTTGACGGAGTTTTTTTCTTTGCTTTCTGGAAATTCCCTTTTAAAAGTCATTTCTGTCATGGAAGTACGTCACTGAAATCTTGGTGGACCCCGTGATGAAACACTTTCGTGTTGGAAGAAGGAAGCGTGTCTTCGCGGTAAATGACTTACAAAGTATGTGAACGTGGCGTAGTACAGCTAGCCCCGTAGATGTGGTCGCGTACCCAGAAGTCATGGTTTTGATTCCTTTGCTTTGAGGAAGTTATTTTTTAGACGCAGTTTTCGTGACGGAAGTACGCCATTAAAATCTTGGTGGACGCTGGCATAAAACTCTTTCGGGTAAAATAGGAAAGCATGGCTTGGCGACTAAAGACTTGGATCATTTTGCACGTTACCCAGGATAAGCCCTGTGAAATACATCCACCACACGCTTCATCACTTCATTTTTTAGCCTCGGTACAATCCATCGTTAAGAGTTGATATATTGGGTTTCTTTAATTACAAGGTTTTTGTGTTTCTCTTTCTTTAAGGCGTACGTAAACGAGATGCCCGTTGGAAGCGTTAACGTAAGCCAAATTCTGAGTAAGTACTGCTTCAAGTTTTTGTTTCTCTCTGCATGAAGAAGCATGATTTTTACGCTTGTCTGCACACGGTGTTCCTTTTCATCGCAGCTCAATTTCGATATACATGAAAGGGGTTTTTGAGTTGAGAACTTTCAACCTTTTCTATGCTATGACCATCGCAGTCGCGCAAGTAAATTGTTTTCTGGTTATAATAAATCGCTTTCGAAAATGAAATTTAAGCAAAAAAGTTCAAAATCCTTGAATTCCTTCATGTTTTGAAGAAAACTAGTGACAATATATGTGGAAACTGAGAACGCTAGTTATACCGGATCCATCATTCTTCTTCATCGTATACATTCCAATTTTCTTGCTGATGCCTCATTTCAACAAATTAGAATCATGATCGTTTCCTCTTTTTAACAAAGTGTACTCGGCATTTCCCCTCTATTGGGATTGTGACTTGTCCTGTGAAAAACAACGATCACTTCATAGACACTCCAACACGTTCACAATAATATTATCATGATGGTACACATTCACGGGCCAACTTGTTAAAATTTTAGATTAAACGCCTCTATCATCATCGGTTACCATCGTCATCTTCCATGCGTCAGTTTCCATGCTGGACGCCTTCATCATTACCATAATTTTCACGCAGCTCCCTTTCAGCGTCATTGTTGTCATTTTTATCATAACTGATTATCATTACCCCTGCGTTCATAGTTAGTTTTGAAGTGATTCGATCATTATCTATAGCACTGTTCAAAAAGCCTTGGCTCGTTGATGGCTCTGTTTCCACACTCTAAGTATCAGTACTCTCTGACTCGGATTAAGTGATGAAAACACAGGTGTCATAATCTTAGCTCTTACATGCAGAAGCGAACGGTAAAGTCGGTCATTACAAGTGACGCAGGCAGCGCCATGTAGCCGTGCCCCGAAGCTGTCACATGGTGATAAAACTGCGACGCAGTTCGGTCTCTCAGTAGACATAAACCAAGGAGGTTTAAAAAAAGTGCTAGACTGAAAATTATTGCCCACGAGTGAAGCCGTGCCAACCGTAAGATGGTGGTTGTGGCAGTTGTCTTAGTAGAGGCATGGTCAGCTGTTGGCGTTCCGCGATTGAGACAGGGAAGTTTACCGTAAACTGGTAATAACACTTCAGGTGACTACAACTGTCAGGTGTTACATAATCACTGAAGTGGCACGTACAAACAAGATAACATAGACACAATGTAACGAACAGCACTTCAATATTCTCACAGATCATGGCTCACTCAAGAAAACAAGGAGAAAAAGAAAAGCACGAAGCACTAATTTGAAACAGATTCACATACGATGTGCGACGAGAGGCAAGCTTTTTTCCCCTTTCTTTGTCCATTCCAGTGAGTTAAAATGGCAGTAAAGGAAATTTATTATTCCCACTCCACACTTCAAAAAAAAAAGGCTGTATACCACTTTCTGATGAAGGCTTCCTCACCCTGCATTCCAATCTGTTCGGTAAGATACCGAACCATTATCATTCTAATGTTCTGTAACGCTGGGTATGCAGCTCATTGCCGTCGTCGGCGTACTTCGCCATACAGCGGTGACGCCACAAGACGAACATCGTGACGTACAGTACTAGTTGTTCAAATAAGCTCCTGCGCTGTCGGCCGCAAAAAATGGACACTCCGAATTGACGAAGCACGGCGTGCCACGTGCCGTTGGCCGTTGCGCATTCAAACATCGTGTCACGGATCGTTTCTCTTGCCGCAGTTAGGGCGGTGGTCGTTGGGAACGACGCCCCACTTTGACAGTCTCTGACGAGTGGGAAACGCGTCCAACTGCCACAGCCAATCAAACTCCCTAACTTCTTTGGTACGTGGTTGTTTCGCCATTTCTTCCACTTGCTTAGCCTCCATCTCTGTTTTTCCTTGTCAGTGATCGAGCGACTGATTAACATTTTGCTAATGAGCGCGGGTGAAAGCTTTGTAAAGTATTCTTCGGCGGCGTCGCCACCAACTGAACGCTTGAAGCCCTCTGCTACTTTATAAAAAGCATGTGGGTGTTCTGTTTGAGGCACCCCGAAACCTTTCCGACGTGAATACGGCTCCAAGAGTTCCGGTTCAATTTAGCAATAAGCTACGACCAGGATAGTCATTGTCCCAAAATAATTTGTGAACTGTTTTAGCTGCAAGTGCCTTTGTGAATGTCGCAACATCTGGTAGACTAAGTCCTCCACAAATTTTTGAGAGCTTCAGGAACTTTTGCTGAACTTTCGGTGTCTTCCCATTCCATAGGAAGGCTCCAACCAACGACGCAAGGTGGCCCGCACAAAGTTTGGGTATGAGTGCAATGTGCCAGATATAAAAAGCATATGGGCATGCATTGGTTTTCACCAACGTCACTTTGGCGTCAAGTGACAAATATAAAGTCAGCCGCATACGGGAAGATTTGCGTGGATTTGTGTACGGCATCCTCCCAATTTTTTCCGGTGACCTCCCCGTCTTGAAAGTATACCCTGAGAACATTTCGGGCATCCACGTACTGAATACCGCCCGGCAAAGAGCCGTGGAAGCCACCGAAACGAAGGAATTTTCTCGGCATTCAGGAAAGCACCCGATAATCTGGCATACTCTTCGAACAGCTCCAAGAAAGCACGATAACTGGCTTGGTTTCGCACAAATACAGCAGACCTGTCATTGGAAAGCCCTGAATATTGTTACGGGGAATAAAGTATACACTGGCGAGCAAAGGCGTACTGGCGAATATACTGGCGAGCTAATGCGTACAACGCTGCTGCAGTCCGAGCACGTTCTCGTTCAGTACTTCGTCGTCGTCCTTCCCAGGCATCTACTTAGCCCGTGACATTACCCGCCGGCGGCAGAAGCACCGTCCCAGTGCGATCAATTGTCGAGGCGTGAGTAGTATGGTTTAAGCCGTGAGACGTGCACTATATCGGTCGGGACTGAAGCTGGTACTGACGTGGTATGGAGTGGAGCTATCTCATAGGTCACACCGGTGGCCTTGCGTATGACGCGGTAGGGGCCAACGTAACGGGACATTAGTTTTTCGCAGAGACCAACACGACGTGATGGTAACCACAGCAAGACGAGTGGCCCCAGAGAGTACTGTACGTCGCGGTGCCGGCGATCGTAAGCACTCTTATGGTTAAGCTGCGAGTCACATAAACGATCCCGGGTGACTTGGCGGGTGATGTCAGCTCGTGCCAAGGCATCACGAGCATAAGCAATCGATGAGGGGGCGTCAGATTGGAGCATGGTGTCCATGGGCAAAGGCGGGCCATAACCAAACAGTAGATAAAAAAGGGGAAAATCCAGCTGTATCATGACGTGAACTGTTGTATGCGAAGGTAACGAAAGGTAAGTGGATGTCTCAATCTTTGTGATCCTTGGAGACGTACATCGCTAACATATTCGTAAGGGTACGGTTGAGGCGTTCTGTGAGGCCGTTGGTTTGCGGATGGTACGCTGTAGTGAACTTGTGGTGGGTAGAGCAGGATCGCAGGAGCTCGTCCACTACTTTAGATAGAAAACAGCTGCCGCGGTCGGTGATCAACTGACGAGGAGCACCATGACGCAGAATGATGTCATGAAGAAGAAAATTGGCTACATCAGTAGCGCAGGTGGTGGGGAGGGCGCGTGTAACGGCATACCGCGTTGCGTAGTCGGTAGCAATAGCAATCCACCTATTACCGGTGGCCGACACGGGAAAGGGTCCTAGAAGATCGAGGCCGACTGGGAAAAATGTCTCATCTGGTACTTCAATGGGCTGGAGGGTACCAGCAGGTCTCTGAGCAGGTGTCTTGCGGCGCTGGCAGAGGTCGCATGCCGCAACGTACTGTCGCACAGAACGGTAGAGGCCAGGCCAAAAGAATCGGCGGTGAATGCGGTAATGCGTGCGTGACACCCCTAGGTGTCCAGCGGAGGGGGCATCATGCAGCTGGGCCAAAACGTCTGAGCGAAGATGCACAGGAACAACGAGTAAAAGCTCAGCACCATCAGGGCGGGCGTTGTAGCGGTGCAAGATGTCGTTGTGAAGAACGAACAGTTGTAAGGAGTGGTCAGGGTGGGGAGAATGCAGACCATTGATAATAGCACGCAAAGAGGGGTCGCGGCGTTGTTCAGCAGCTATGTCGGTGAAGTCGGTAATTGAAAGAACGAGGGCCTCTTGCTCATCATCCCTCGTGTCAGGGGGATCGACTGGGTAACGGGAAAAGCAGTCGGCCTCCTTGTGAAGTTGTCCGGATTTATAGGATACGGAAAAAGTGTACTCTTGTAAGCGCAGCGCCCAGCGACCAAGGCGTCCCGTAGGGTACTTGAGTGAGGAGAGCCAGCAAAGCGCATGCTGGTCCGTAATAACTGAGAATGGTCGGCCATACAGGTACGGTCGGAATTTCGCAATGGCCCAGACGAGAGCTAAGCACTCGCGTTCTGTGATGCAATAATTTTGTTCCGAGCGCGACAACAGTCGGCTTGCATACGCGACGACGCGGTGCATGCCTTGTTGCCGCTGCGCCAGCACTGCGCCTATGCCGTGGCCACTGGCGTTAGTACGAAGCTACGTGGCGGCAGATGGGTCGAAGTGTGCTAGGACTGGTGGATTGGCGAGAATGTCAACGAGCGACGAGAAGGCGTTTGCTTGCTGTTGGCCCCAGGTGAATGCGACATCCGTTTTGAGGAGGCAGGTTAGAGGACGGGCTACTTCAGCAAACTTCTCGACAAAACGACGGAAATAGGAGCACAGTTCCAGAAAACATCGGACGTCCTTGGCTGAGCGGGGTGTGGAGAAGTCACGAACTGCTCGGACTTTCGCAGGGTCTGGTTGAACGCCCGCAGCGTTAACAAGATGGCCGAGTACGCAGATTTGGCGTTGCCCAAAGCGGAATTTGGACGAGTTAAGTTGCAAGTTGGCACGTCGAAAAACATCAAGCACTGTGGACAGACGGGTAAGATGGTCATCGAAAGTAGTTGAAAAAACAATAACGTCGTCAAGATAGCAGAGGCAGATGGTCCACTT